TATATATATATATATATATATACACATCTACGCACATATGTACAAGGTGTCTGAGGTATTTCAATCAAACGTTGTAAGCATATTCTATATGCACGAAAATATAAAAAAATTAATTTTTTAATAAAGCTTTAAATGGCCTGTGTTTATATAAAATTATTTTCTTATTTTCATACACATAAAATTATGCTAATAACATATGTTTGGAAAAACCTCAGACATCCTGTATATATCCGTATTGTACATATACATATGAGTATATTTAACATTCTATAAAACAAACTTTGGTGCGAAGACTACCCATATTTTCATTTGCTCTGATTATTCTAATTTATTATATTTATTTTTAATAAACTACATAGATCTTTTTTTTTATCTCAACTAATCTTACATAATACATTCAATTCAATCTTGAAAAGAAACATTTATTTGTAAATGCTATTAAAGAAAAAAAAAATATATATATATATATTTTGTTTGTTTGTTCGTAATAATCAAATAAAATAGAAAATATTATAAACGATGGAATGTTTCTATCAAATGCAGAATATATTCTCTATCATTGTATCGTTTAATGAAAAATGATAATAAAATAAAAATAAAAATAAAATGTTAATATATAATATATCATTTTTCTTCTTTAGTTAAATACAAATATATTATATCAAACGTTAACTTTTCTAGAAGTATTGATAAATATTAATCAATTACTTATTCAGTTAATAGTACAATATTTAAATAAAAAAATATGCAATTTTGAATGAAAGAAAAATTTAATCAACGCTTTCTCTTCCTACCTATTTGTGCTTTTTTTGTTGTATTCGTTAATTGGTCAGTGTAATCTATATTAGAATTTTTTTGTTCGCTAATGGACTGAAAAGAATTTATGGGAGAGTCAGGTACATCGATTAAAATAGGAGTACCTGAAAGTATATACATAATCAAATATATGATTGTTCTATTAATTAATATAATAACGTACCTCGAGGTGGAGAATTGTGTCTGTTCTGTAAACATTTATTAACGTGATCTTCATAATCTATGCCACTATCAGTTTGAAACGAAGAACAAATATTACATTCATACCGCGCCTGTGAATTTTTAACCTTGTCTTTTTTAACTATGCATTTTCTACTGCTTTGAGCTGAGTATACGTAATCTTGTTTGAATTCATCTTCCGTTTGAAATTGATCGCACATAGCCGCATGATTTTCTATCTTGTCGTTTGCAAAGGATTTGTTGCAGATAGGACACGTTACTTGAGTTTTGTAAATATAATCATCGTTTTCTATTTCTTCTATTATTTTATCAATATCATCTTCCTATATACATACATATAATACATACGTATACATTAAAAAAGAAATAATATAAAATATTTAATAATACATAATAAAAAATGAGAATAAAAAGCTTACATCAATTTCGGTATCTTTCTTTTGTTTTTTCATTAATTTTTTCCACTTTGGCGTTCGACTGGTACTTTTTCCTTCCAACACCTCCATCAGTCTGTCCTTTTTTTTCTCTTTATTTAATACTTTTAACTTTTCCTTCGACATTTCTTCCATCTCTTGCATTCTCCTCTTAACGTAGTCTTGCTTCTTTTTATCTTTTTCTTCTAACGTTTTTCTAACAGCTTCCTTTTCATCTGAAAGTATTTTTTTCTTTCTCTCTGCATCGGTTTGTTTTAATTTCGCGCATTGTTTTGCCAATCTCGTTGAAAAATTCTTCATGGGTAATGGTTTAACAACAATATCTTTAGTAATCGATGCTTCGTTAATATTCTTATTAATTTTATCCAATTGTCCAATTAATTCTTTATTCGTTTGAATATTACTTAAACTTTCTTTTCTCGACGTACTAGGACTTACTTCTAAGTCACATTGATTAGAACCTTTTTTACTATTTCTTAATGTCAAATAAGAAACTTGCGTTTTGTTTATGTCCAATAAACTAGACTTAGAAACTATATCTCTTCTTGGATTAGATAATATTTCTGGAGATACTGTTCTTTCATTAGGCCCTTGTAAATGTTTAACATTAATACTTTTGCTATCTTTATCATCCTTTTCATTAATAAGATTATTATTTGAAAATAAATCTTCTTTATCGAGATCTTCCTTCGTACAATATTTTTCTTCAGTCGACAATTCCTTCTTATGCAATGTTTTGTACATTTTACTTGTATCATCTGATTTGTGTTTTTTAATAAAACTAAGAGTTGTTTCGTCGTCGCTGCTGGAATTGGATATTTTTGTATTAGCAAACCATGATGCTTTCCTTTTGCTTTCTCTCACATAATTACTGGGTAAATTATCTTCGTCGTCGTTGCAATTATTTATTACATTTTCTCCTTCGTCATAATTACTGATCATGTCTATGTCGTCTTCGTCGTAATAACAATCGACCATTGACGGTATTCTCCCCAAACTGTTGTTATCTGTATCCACCTATATGAACGTTGAAAAAGAAGGATTAGAATTGAAATAAGTCAAAATGAATAAGGACAAATAGTCTATTGTTGCTTTATTTTTTTTTTCTTTTTTTTTTTTTTTTGTATAGAAATATAATTTATTGAAAAAATGTCGTCATAGTTTACACTTTCGATGACCGTTGCCTGGTTAATGTTTATATGGGTACACATATATATGACTACGATAAATACATGTTAACAATTATTCAAATGTACTTTTATAAAAACTTATAGTAGAGTTACTTATGCAATCATTTAACCAGTATGCATATATACATATATATATGCACATGTATATATATATACCGTTGTATGTATAAAGAGTATGTATATATAAAAAAAGAGATTAATATAAAACCAACATTCGTTATTAGAATGTTTCTTTTTTTTTTTTGAGTATTAAAATATAAAATGTAAAATTGTTTAAACTATACAATTTCATAAGTATTCTAATTTATTGAAGATCATTTACATTGTGCAAATTATATGATTAGTTATTTGGCGAATTAATTTTTTTTTTTTTTTAACGTATTAATAATGCAAAAGCATATAACAAAATATCTAAATAATTAATTAATGCTTAATGCGTAGTATAGTACCCAATAAATTATTATTAATATTATTTATTTTTAACAAATGAAATATATATATATATGTATATATTAGAACTCAAAGACAAACAAAACGATATTTTTTTAACTTGCATTTGCTCTTTTAACATAATACACATTAAGTTTCTTTTTAATAATCTTCGGAAGATATGTCATATTACACAAGACTTAAACTGTATTAAATAGAAAAAAGTAGACGCAGATAATGAAAAAATAGTTATTAATTTTGTATGCGAGTCAACGGCAATAATGAGGTTTGGAGTTACACACCTGAATGGGTGTCCCCCATTGAAACATCGATTCGGTCGTATTATCATGGCAATTTAACCACAGATTCGCCATATTTTTCAAATGAATATTCAAGTCGTTCAATATTTTAACAGATTCTTCTTCAGTGTGCGTACCTTTACAAAGTCTGAAAGGTAAACGTTCTTGAATGGGAGGTCGTTTTGGCTGTTGCAAAGCCACATCCTTCTGATTGCATTGTGAATCTAACGGATTAATCTTCCATCTCTTGGTTTGATATAGAAAATCTTTTTGAAGTGATGACATTTTTTTTTCTACTCGTAAATTACAAGACTCCTGTAAAGTATTATTCTTTGACTTTTGACGTGACAAATTTTTATCTGCACCATTGTCGTTCCCATCGTTGTCGTCCGTAGTTTTTTTCTTATTAGCAATGTTTCTCTTGTTGCGAGGTTTTGGTGATTCCGAGCTACTGTTATTACAATAAGTATTGTACGAACAACTTGGTTTAGCTCTGTTATTATCTGTTTCTGATATCGAATCTCCTTTAATCGTTATATCTGGTTTATTAGTTAAATTATTAATAGAATGTAGCATGTCCTAAAAATAAATCATTGTTTACAAATTTAATTCGATAGATTTATCAATGGTCTTTTGCTTTTATTAAATTTACCTTTTGGTTTCCTGCATTATTTATTGGTATATTTGCCATTTCCTTAGATTCTTGTATTGCATCAAATACTTGCTTCATATAATCCAAAGGAACATTTGGCTGGTACATTCCCACTTCTAAATAAACAAAACAAATAAATAATAATGTATAAATGTGAGAGTGGTGTGTTAAGCATTATTGGCTGAATGTTTGTTAAATTTTAATCATTAGTTTAAATTATGTTGATTGTTATTTACTTTCAAGTTCTTTCTTCATTTTTTCACGTTTCTCTGTGTTCGTCATGGTGACACTTTCTTGATTATTAGACATTTTTCTATTAAAACTTGACGTAAGCAAATATAATATTCATTAGTAAACAAAACTCTTTTATTATTTTTCTTTTTTTGTTTTCATTAAATTCTGTAAATCTCAGTTCACATTGAAAGTATGTAATCAAACGATTCGACGAAAACTCTTTGATTATAACGAATACGAAATAAATAAAAGTTTGATGCAGAAATAAAGAAGAAACAGTAAGATAACTTAAAAGTGCATGTTTGTGAAAACAAAGAAACTGTTATCTAGTTACACATACATACAATCTCGTAAAACTAACAAATGCATTTAGCATAACCTAGAATTGTGAATACTTATGTAAACGTCATAAAACATTGAAGCTATTTGATTGGTTATTTCTTCGATTTCTATTGGCTCACATTTAACCAATCATATCAAAAACAGTGCATTAGCTATTATTCAAAATCGCTAATTGCGATAATGTTTATTATACTTTTTGATACTTCTTTATATAACCTCTCTGTTAATATTTTATATATTACTTTATTAATAAATATTATTTTAACTTAAGATGAACACCACCAAAATGTTTCCTACTTTAATTAAGACATGTTCAAAGTTCAGGTGCTTGTTATTTATAAATATTAATATTTATTTTTAAATATATATAATATATAATGAATAATTTGTGTATTTATTTTCAGTAGATTAAAACAGTGTAATAATGAAATTGTTATTAAGCAAAGACGATTTTTTAAACATAATATAAGAAATTCGGCTATCATATTTATACAATATGATTATTTTCATACAACTTCTTTCAATCAACGCAATTTAAAGGTAATATTTCATTGTTATTTCTTTTTATATTGTTTCTTCTTTTGTCAAATAACAATAAAATACTATGAGTATGTATATTTTTAATTAGATAGAAGAGAAATTATTAAAAGAAACTAAGAATAAAAGACCATTAATAAATTTGTGGTACGGCATGACAGTCGACGAATTGGCAATTATTATAAAAAGAGATATAAAAGATATTTTATCAGCTGTATCCCTTGTAGATAAGAATAAGGAATATTCTTTCAATACAGAATTTAAAGATGTGCAAACATTATCCAGTACTGTTAAGAAGTTAGGATATCGTTATAAGATTATCCCTAAACCGAACAATGTGCACAGAAATCAGGAAGATTATGATGTAGTTGTACGGTATAAAAACATGCTTTAAATAACCTTCGTTTATGAAATATTTTATTCTTCTTTTTATGAACATTGTTATTTATTCGTTATATTTTTTCTAGACACCCACCGGATGAATCCGTATTAATAAGTCGACGTCCAGTTGTAACCATAATGGGACACGTAGATCATGGAAAAACAACTTTGTTAGATGCATTACGAGACACTTCGGTTGTAGATACAGAATTTGGAGGAATCACTCAACATATTGGTGCATTTAACGGTACATAATCAAAATCTATTTCTAATTTTATATTGTACAAAAATTAGAAATGAAATTTTTATAGTGGAATTAAATACCGGCGAGAAAATCACATTTTTGGATACTCCTGGTCATGCAGCTTTCACTTCTATGAGAGAAAGAGGAGCACAAGTAACCGATATTGTAGTATTAGTAGTAGCTGCGGACGACGGTGTAATGGAACAAACTGTACAAAGTATAAATATGGCTAAAGCAGCTAATGTACCGATTATTGTAGCCATTAATAAAATTGACAAACATAATGCTGACATTGTAAGTAAATAGTAATGTTAATTTTGATTGATATTAATACAAATTTAATACCGATAATCGAAAGTATAATTCTTTCAGTTAAGGACACAAAAGATGTTACAACAACAAGGTATTATCGTTGAACAACTTGGCGGTGATATACAGTCTGTAAATATATCCGCTTTAAAAGGAACCAATTTGAGTATATTGATAGAAGCGATAGCACTGCAGGCAGAAATAATAGGATTGAAAGGTGATCCCACAGGATTGGTAGAAGGTGTAGTTATAGAATGTAGAAACGATAAAGCTCGTGGAAAATTATCAACGGCACTTATTCAACGTGGAACTTTAAAAAAAAATTCTATACTCGGTAAGATAATATATATGTAAACGGAGAAAAAAATAATAAATTATATACATCGAATTAACGTTTTTCAGTAAGTGGTACTACTTGGGCGAAAGTAAGATCGATGTTCGATCATGCAGGCAAACCTGTTATACAAGCAAGTTTATCAGACGCGATACAAATTATGGGATGGAGAGAATTGCCCGATGTAGGTGATAAAATATTAGAAGTAAAGAACGAACAAGAAGCTCATACAGTTATTAGATATAGACAAAAACAGATAGATGATATGAAAGCCGAGGAACACAAAAAAGGAGCTGAGATTAAATTGCAAGAACATCTAATTGTAAGAGATTGTTTAAATATTACATCATTAACAAGACTTTCTTCTTTTCGCGCATTTTAATTAAACCAAACGAAAATTTTCTTTTGAACGATTGTATGTAATATATTAATTTTCATATAGGAATATGAAATAAAATTAGCGAAAAGAAGAGCAATGGGAAGAAGGCAGTATAAACGCGAGCCTAAAAAAAAAGAAACATCAGATCTTACTCCAAAGCTTAATATTATATTAAAAACAGATGTTAGTGGTTCTGCGGAAGCTATCTTAGATGTAATCGGTACTTATACAGCAGATGAAATGTGTCGTTTGAATGTTGTACATTACGGCGTTGGTCCAGTTTCGGAGAACGATCTTGAATTAGCATCTACTTTTGATGGTATTTATATTATTATTTTATATTTTGTATTTATTATTCTACCTTTTACAGATTTGAGCAACCCTACGATATTTTTCCACATCTCTAACATCTATCTAGAATCAACAACAGTGCTTATTCATTCAATTATTATTAACCATGCGAAAAAAAAGTTTTATTTAGTAATCGCACATCGAAAACTTATCATATTAAAATGATATTATTTTTTTTTAGCTATTATTTATTTATTCAATATAAGTATATCAAGCGTAATGCAAAAAACTGCTATTGCAAATAATATTATCGTACGACCTTGTAACATTATATATAAACTAATAGATGACATAAAGAATGAAATTAATTCGAAACTTCCGTTGAAAGATAGCGAAGAAATAATAGGTAAGATTAATATTAGAAATATTATTATATTCTCTCCTCGTTTTATATAAAGATTTAATATTATAATAATTTCATGTTATTAATAAATTTTAGGCGAAGCGCAATTTTTAAAACAATTCGATGTAAAGATAGAGAAGAAACGTATCTCTATAGCTGGTTGTCAATGTACCAAAGGTATTCTTAAGAAAAATGAATTGTATCATGTGAAACGAGGCGATAATATCGTTTACACCGGTAAGTTGAAAAAAAGAAACATTAAAACATTTAAAAACAAAAACAAAAAATCGCAATTTAATCATTTCTATCTTTTTCTAAGGAAAATTATTATCGATGCGACATCTCAAAGAAGAAGTAGATACTATTAAAAGTGGCGTTGAATGCGGTCTTAGATTTATCAACAGTTCGTTAACTTTTCAACCAGGCGATAAAATAATTTGTTTCAAACCATACAAGGAAAAACAAACTATCGAATGGGATGCTGGATTTTAATAAACATGTATTGATTGATATGATTCTCTCCTTCCTATCGATTAATTTAGGCAAATATTAAACAAGAATATGATGATTAGGAAATAAAAAAATAAAATAAAATTATAAATAGGAATGAAAAAGAAATGAAACGAAATGAAGAAAAAACAAAAAAAAAAAACAAAATTTAATAAAGAGAACATACTTACGATATTCCCAATCCTTTTTTTGATACAACGTAAGGAAAATGAAATAGCAATTTGTAATGTAAGTACAGAGAATTCTTTATTATTATTATTGTCCTTGAAAGGAGACGTCGAAATCGATGTTTCCTGATATGTTAACGATAATACTTTGTTTTTTTTTTTTTTTATACTTAGCATAACACGTGTCAATTAATTACTCATTTATTCGATTACTTTGATAGTTTCAATTATGAATTATTTGATTTCATCCTTGTGCCGAGAGCTTGTACCGAACGACGAGATGAGAAAAAAGAAACAAGGATTATAAAAAAATCACATGATATTATCCAATTAATTACGAAATGTTAGAACTCAAACGAACGTAACGAGTAAGATTTTTGAATGACGAGGAACTATCAATAATAATGATTACATATTGTTACCAAAAGACACGACATTATGAAGCATAAGTCTCTCGAAATCGACGTTGAAGATGATGATATGCCGTTAAAACGCCACGTTTCTTTTTCTGAAGACGACAGGGTGCCGTTTCTTGATTTGCTTTAACGATTTTAATATCCAACGGTTCAACGGGTATATCATTGTTTGGGTGTACGAAGAATGCAATGGAATGACGACCACGACCGCAATGTTCTGGAACGACAACGCGATGTCTTAATGCTGGAAATTGATTATTAGTCCAGTTAGCCAATATGCTTCCTGTGTTTATCAAAATAGCCCCAGGTAAATGACCAACGCGTCTCCATTGATCACCGCACGTTGTTTGTATTTCCAAACCACCTTCGCAATCCTAAAAAGAAAAAAAAAAGAAAAATTTAAAGATTAACAGTTTTTAATTGAAAAATTTAAAGATGATTGGTTTCAATAAGGGTGTTATTATTATTGTATAATACTTAATATCTCATAATAAAAATGTATATAATAAATATATAAAAAGTTCTCCATAATATATTCTCCTTGATTACACAAATGGAGAACACCTTTTATTGTCTTTCTATACGAATAACTTAGTATATTATAGTACCGAGGTTATCCGCATACCTGTGCAAGCAGAGTGAAAGTGCCATAATCGAAATGAGACCCGCAACGCGTCACGTCTGGTGACGGCGCACCAAGTGGTGGATAATAAAGAAGACGAAGAGTCGTATCGTTACCAGTTCCCAACATTTGATCATGCTTCAGTAACAAGAAATCAGGAGATTGTTCCAAACCCACTGCTAATGCCTATAATATATACAGATATATATACAAATCAAATATAAATTATCTTTTATTTTATAATTAATTGTACTTTATGTTTTTTTTATTTATAATGCAACCAAAGAAACTTAATCGTATTCAGTAAAATCTATTTTGCTTTATTTCTTTTCTTTTCTTTTTAATTGAAATTGGTTTACTGGGTTACTTAACAGTAGTATTTTTTTTTTAAACTAAGGTTGAGAATCCCTGAACTATCAAGACATATGCTATCATTATCAAGTATTAAAAAAGAAAAAAAGAAGAAGAAGAGGAAGAAACGTGAAGGAATAATTACGGTTAATAGCATGACTGAAAGTTGTTTGAAATCTCTTTCTAGTTCTTCCACTGCAGGTTTAAATCCGGGTACTTCATCTTGCGGTAACGCTCCCTTGCAACCGGTAATGTTGAAAGCATGACGAATTTCTTCTTCGTCCGCCAATCTAATATATTATAAAAAAAAAATAATAACAAAATAAATATATGTGACATATCAAAATAAATACCTAATTTTTTATCGAATCGATTAAAAAGAAAACGCAGGAATAATAATAATAATAATAATAATATATCTTTCTCCCTTCTATTTTATTTTGTTATCTTTCGCTTTTTTAAAAAACGACAGGCAATATTGTTATAAAACATGAAATGTGTTACACAAAAATTTACCTGACGTATATGTTTTTAGTTCGTTCAATATTTTCTTTATTAAATTTCATACGTTGACCTCTTTTACACGTTTAAAACTTAACAATTAGGGGGATAATTTTTATTTATTTAATTGTGAATCTTTGATTAGCATTTTTTTCGTTGCAATGCGGTTTTGCAAGAGAAGAAGATAGTTTGAAAAGCTATAAAAAATAAATAATAATAATAATAATAATAATAATAATAATAAGTTCGAAATAAACGTGAAATAATATATTTTCTAATATTGTTGATCATTATCGTTTAACTCTGTTTTTCTTTTCTTTTCTTTTTATTATTGTTCATACGCACCAAGACATTTCAAGTCGTGCGGCACATCGACACACTTACTTCTTCTCCATTCCAGGCTTGACATATCCATGATTGGATTTGCTCGAAGAATCACGTTGGTATTTGCTTTTTGTTTCCTCTGGCAATTCGGAAAACTCATCTAATGCTCTGTACGCTGCTTTCAACTGCAATCAAATGAAAAATAACAAGATTAATATTCACGTTAAATGTAAAACGAGTTTAAATATTCGCGCCTTTTTATTTTTTAAAAGATTTTCAAAATGGAGTCCACAATTAAAAAAAAAAAGAAAAACCCCGCGAATATTTAAAATTGTCCCGACGATACAAGTTACATTAAATTTCCAATACGAAATTACTAATACACAAAATTTTAATTTGTGTTTATATGTATGTATATTTTTGTAATTTATTTTTAAACTTTCTCGTTACATTTCTTCAATATTAAAAATAATGAGATATGATAATAAAGAATATAAATTAAATTTATAAATAGGGATTATTATATATTAAAAAATATAGAATGATTGATTGGAATATTAAATATAGACATAATAGTATATCTAATTATTAAAAAAAAGAAAAGAAATGTGTAACATTATTTTCGAGAATGATCGATCAACGTTGATTCATTTAAAACGTCAGAATTACGTATGTGGACAGATCGTTACCCTTTTCAAAAATTTAAAAGACGATTTATCGTTGGTAAATTATATGCAATGAACTGTTACATCATTTTCAGGAGAAAGAGCTCAGAATGATAGTAAGTTCAAGTGCCGAGGTCATTGTATAATCTAAAAGACTTTTTTATCTGGAGCCCTTGAAAACTTTGGTGCTTCTCCATCCAATATATATATATATATATATATATATATATATATGTGTGTGTATGTATGCATGAAAGTGAATGTATTCATTTTATTAATATATTCTCCTATCAAAGTGATTCATGTTTGCATGGTCATCACCATAGATACTAACAAAATATTCTTTACACTTTCCTATACTTTTATGATATGCCATAATGATGAAAATAAAATTGAAAGATACGCGCGGTTGCATAATAATAATAATTATCGTTTGCTTTTCATTATCTTTTCTTTTCTTTTTTTTATACATTGCATAAAATTGCATTAAGAATGCAATTTTTTGTTGAAATCATGAAATATATATATGTGTGTATGTGTTATCTATATATATATAATTAAAATTTGTGATTATATTTAAAAGTAATAGTTAAAACTTAAATATACATGTTATCTACACATTGCAATAAAATAAAAATAATGAAAAATTCTGAATAAATAACCGAAAATATGTATTTAATTACAAGATATCTCTAGAATAATTTGTTATTAATATTTTGTATTTATTAATTTATTATCCATACCTTACATTCTGGAATGCCATGATTGACGAGTAAAGCCAATCCCTTTTCCGATAAAGCTCTTACTAATTTTGTAGCAACTTGTTTGACTACACCTTTTTGAGGACATCTTTCCGTTCCTGAAAAAGAAAATAGAACAAATTATTAACAAATTGTTAATAATTTATATTTAAAGTAAATTAAAACAATAATTACTCGTTTGTTTGTTTTGTATTAAAAAGAATTATTACTTTAACGAGAGCTTAATACATTTTTATAATCATTATTATAAAATGTAAAAAACTACATTTCTTTTTAAACATTTGAATAATGTACAAATTTAATATAATAGAAGAAATAAATATATAATAATGAATCTGTCTACACACACACACATTAAAACGTGTTTTAATATGATTCATTGTATCCTTCGATGATAACAAATCTACTTCCTCAAACGATTTTAAATAAACAAACGAATAATGGTCAAATAATATCCAGGAAGTGTACACGTGGTTTACACATGGTATGCACGTGTATTATTTTATTTCTTTTTATTCCTATTACAAAATAAAATAAAATAAAATAAAATAATTTCATATTTCCCCCATTAATATTAAAAAACAGATTAATTATTTCATTTGTTTTCCGGATGAAAATAAATTTAAACAAATATCGTAATAATTCAGGAAAATTCGTATATTCGTCAAATTTATTATCATAATTAATAAAAACAAAAAAAAAATAAGAAACATTCGCGACGATTAAAGGTTTGTTTCAATTTTTGTTTTGTTTTGTTAACTTGATTTTTTTTCTTTTTAACAAAAAAAATTCGTCAAAGATGGCGTTGTAATTGCATTATCGAATTTTGTTGCACCGTACGTTGGTTGGTTGTTGTTGGGCGGTAAGATAAATTTTTAGTGCCACTTTCTGACACGAATGTTACCCTGATATGTAACAATAAATGATTTATACTAACAACGATATATATTATTATTTAATTATTTAAACAATAACCTTCTTTTTTTTCTTTTTGTATTTTTCCAACATTTTCTCTTTCACAAATGAATAAAAAGATTGAAATTTATTTTCTAACACATTTCTTTCAATCAATTATAAATATAATCAAAGTAATCGTAACGAGATAAATGATTTGTTTTTTTTTATACAAGAACACACAACGATATATTATTATTTATTATTTTATTATTTAACAATAACCAACCCTTTGTTTCTTTTTTTTTAATACTATCTCATTTATAATTTTATTCTAACTTTTATATAAGTAATAAAAAATAATAGTAATGATATTAATGTAATTACTGAAACTTGTATTAAAGAATATATTATTATTATTATTTTCTTTTATAATTAAATTAAATTAAATTGTCAAAATGTAAAAATGTAATAATTATGAAATCAAAAACAACATATGTGTCTCAAATCGAATCATTTATTTTTCTTTTTATTCAAACAAACGATAAAGAAAAAAAAAGAAAGAAAAAAAAGATAGAAAGAAAGATGTTATAATTAATACACACTAATTAAGATAATGATCGATGGTATATAACTCTTTCATACTTTCATCAAATTCTTACATCAATTTCGTTAAAATATCTGCTATAGTGTATGCCTATTAATAATGTTTGCTATAGTTAAGACTCATTTAGAATAGAAATTGCGACGTTCTTTCACGATAGTTTCTCTTCAAACACACACACACACATATGTATACACATACACGTATGAGTTACTATGATAAAAAAAAGGGTTGGTGTATTTTACAAGAAGTAACTTTTTTTTCAATTCTTTATCGTAGATATTTAATTTTATAGACATCTACAACAAGATTATAGAATTACGATAATAATAATAACAATTTATCAATTAAATATCGAAGAAAACAATAAGCGTGTTGATACAATGATATTATCATTTAATTTGTTTATTTTTTTTTATCTAAAACGATAGAGAAAATTGGTATTGGGTATATATATATATAAAATTAATCTGAAATCACTTTAAACGTTATTTACCCTCCCCACCCCCTCTAAATGATTATTTAACAATTTTTATATTTTTTTAATAATCAATTTATTTCTTTTAATCCTATAATAGATTAATTTTCATATGCACACATTTTTTTTTTTATTTAATAACTTTTAAATTCTACAACCCACCCCCCGGTCTACTTTTAATCAATGGGGGAATTTAATTTTTTTTTCGTTTCCTCAGCCGTGATGTTTTAATTTAAATAAAAAAAAGAAACAATATATATATAATAATATCGTCTGTACAAATATTTTCGAAAATTAATTAACTTTTTTTATATGTGTGTCCATTTTTCCACCTCAAAATATTATTATTGATTTACATAATTTCGTAATGAAATAATTTTTGTAATAAATCATTTACCTATATATACGTTTATATATATATATTTTTTTAATTGAATTAAATGATTCTTATTTTTGAAGAACAAACATTTGAACGAGACTCATATGTTTCAAATATAAAAGAAAAATAAAATTCAATATTACTCACAAAAGCTTCTTAATGAGGATAAGGAAAAAACAAGAAAAAAAAAGCATATTTAAATCAAACATGATTTCACAAAGAAGCAAAGTATACATATATATATATATATTGATTATATTCATGAAGTCATCAACGATCATGTGCACACATGGTGTTTCTCATATTCATAAATCATCCTTGTCATTAAAAGAAAATATATCATAGTAACTAATAATGAATTTCTAAAACGTATTTAAATACCAATCAAATCAATGATGACAAATACTGATCTAATATTTGTACACACAGATAAGATACAAATACACATGAACATACATAATATACCATTTAATGAAGAAACACAAATACATACACACATATATATTATCATTTGCAATATCATCATTCTTTTTTATATGCATGACTGATACATCCCACGTCATATACATATATATATATGTATATATATGTGAACCCATACATAGAAAAATACATTATTCGTATACGCATTACGTGTGCTTTTAAATTCAGCATCCGGTAACGGTATCATACGTTCGATTTTCTATATATGTATGGTACGTGTACTCAGCGAAAGTATGGGGAAGAGGAGAAACACATAGAAACAGAAGGGGGTGTGGGGGAAGAGAGACTGTTAGTACCAGGAGAAACCTGCGAAAATTTTTTACTCTATCCTATTTAATTTTTTTTTTTTTTAGTTATTTATATACATACTATATATGTAAGTGTATTAAAATCAAATTATTTTATTTTGTGTAATAATAATATCATTTAATATTATATTATATTATGTTGTATGTATGTATATGAAGTTACTGTTAATAAATTATGTGAAA